TGGCACTTACAATTAACTCACTCAAATTATTGCCTCTGGGCTGTAATAGAGAGCTTACATTATGACTTTTTTAACCAGAAGCCAAAATGTTTTCGACCTAGGTTATCAAAACATGTAACCTTATCTCATTCAATTCATCATTTTGTCTTATCTGGGAAATGTGACTGGCAGCTCTTTCTCTCTTGTAACGTCACTGTTTAGGGAATCTCTCCCTCCTGAGGTGGTGATGGATTTTTCAGTGTCAAATCCAGGTACACTGATGTTTGTCTGAAGGGAAATTGAGAAGTTGTGTGAAATGGAGAGTAATTGCTAGTGTGAGCTGTGTTTTAATGACACAAATTTATATTACACTCCTGACTTCACAGGATTTATTGTCAGGCATCAATTTACTGAATTAGCTGTTGCTTCTATTGGGTGTTTTCCAGGCATAACTCTCCTTTTAGCAGTGATGTCCTTCACCTGCCTTCTAGTATCTGCCTGATATCTCCTCTCGTTTCTCTGTGCCCACACTACCATTTCTCTATTAAGACCAGATGTTCCAGTGTTTCAGCCCGTTGCCTGGGCTGTTTGCACTGGGACTTGTGTCATGGTAACAGTGGAAAAATAGGTGTTTAGAGAATTGTGTCAGGATTTGGGGTTATACAGTTTAAATCAAAGGCATTTTGATAAACATCAACACTGATGCAAGAAAGCTCTTAAACTGTTCTTTATTAACCAGATGCAACCCTGTCTTGATTTATGCTGATAATTACAGTAGATTAGACGGGACATCTATACTGACAAACTGATCTATTCCTTAAAATAACAAGAGAAGGATACAGAGGACTGTGTGGATGTTGCTCTACAATCCAACAAAAACAACAAGATTACCAATATTTCAGTTAAAAGTCCATTAGCAAAAAAAGAAATACAGTCCAAACATCCACACTGACCTAGTAGTGATCACAGAGCTGGTTGAAAAAAGACTTCATGGGGGCACATTCATTTGACTCCAATAAAACAGGTGCATTAGAAAGCTGTTAAGAGTAATCTGAGGAGTACTGTATGCCATCATTGCTATTCCCCAGAGTAAACCAGCTGTGCTTACTCAGTCAGAACCATTTTGCAGGCTCTTTTTATTCATCTGTCCCCAATAGAAGCATTGTATTCCATGGCCTGTGGGCACAAAGAGAAGCAAAATGCCTTCAAATAGAACAAATAGAAGCTAAACAGCTACAGAAAGACAAGATATCTGCAAATATAAGTAAAGAGATGGAAAACTACAAAGAAGCATACAAAATGATTGCAAGTTGACCCAAAATGACCATGCAAACTTTCTAGAAAAAGAGGCAACAGACACAAAACAAAATTACTGCAAAGAGACACAAATATCTGTGCCCCGGGACCCATCGTCTCATGATCTGTTTTGAAGGCACTCAAACAGTAGCACAGAGACTAGGTCGTGTTAGATGCATAACAGTGACTGACAGACTTCTTTTCTTTTTCCAGATCTGGCAGTGTACAGAATCACTGGACTGAAATATACCACTTTGTTGAACATCTAGCTCATAAATTCATAAGGTAAAGAAAATCATAACTGTGTCATCAAACATCTGTGGGAAAGTATGTAACAAGATTTAGAGCTAATCTCACAAGTTCATTTTTCTGTTCTCTGTGCCCCAGCCCACAGTTGCGGATGTCCTTCATTGTGTTTTCCACTGAGGGAAGGATCTTAATGAGCTTGACAGAAGACAGGTGGGTGCAGATTCCCTCAAAACTACTTTTAAGCTGTTGCTTTTCTAACATCCAGCTGAAAGGAATGAGCGTAATATCAGATCTGGACCTGAGTTACATTACAATAATGACCCATCTGCAGTTTTTGACTAAAAAGAGATTCCAGATACAGTACTTTGCCTCGCTGTGATCTATCTATAGTGTCGTCAGTCTGGACAATTACTTTGTCATGTGGTTTTCAACACACTGTGGGCAGCTTATGTGTCTAATCTTTCCTCAGCAAAGTGTCTCAGCAGCCACAAAATCTTTTCACTGTTTCACTGCTTTCTTCATTTCTTATTCTAGAAAAAGGCCCACTCGACATCTAGTATCTGTGTGACAGGTTCTCAAGCCAACACACGCCAATACTGCTTCAGTTTATTCATCTGCTATCACTAGTTTCTTCTGCATGCTGTCCTTAGGAAATTATTATTTGTTACCTTGCGCTTATACTGTCTGGTTCTACTCAAATATTTTCACACATCTGACAAAACATTTTCAGTTTGATTATCAGAATTGTAGATGACCTCGTCTTCTGTATGTCTCTGTTCAGGGAACGCATTCGCAAAGGCCTGGAGGAGCTCCAGAGGGTTCATCCAGGGGGAGACACCTTCATGCATGAGGGCATCCTGAGGGTGAGCCAACCATGTCCAACTCTAAGCTGCCATCTGCTTTATCTCTGCCCTGGTCCCACAGCAAACACTGCACAGTCCAGAGCACTGTGTGACTGTTGTGTCAGAGCAGGAAGGGAGCTCTTTTATTCTTTTTTCCTACCAAATAGTCTGCTGTTTCAATCCAGCTTTTCTTTTTTTACAGGCCAGTGAACAGATATACTATGGAAACACTGAAGGTGTGTATTTCATTATATCAGTAAAGTGTTTCTAGTGTAAGGTAATTTTACAAGTAACAAAGGATAAACCAAAACTGTTATGTCTATTTCTTTGAGTATCTACATTAAGTCAGTGGTTCCCAAGCTGGGAGACACCCATGAGGGTTCACAGGATATAAATACTGAACATTATAGGCATCATAGAAGTAGATGTTTATGGCATGAAAGTTCCACTGGATTGCATTAGTTTGCACAGTTGTACCCAATAAACTGAACAGCAAGCGTAACCAGGCAGCATGGTGACACGGTGCTTAGTGCTGTCACCTCACAGCAAGAAGGTTCCAGTTTCGAGCTGGGACTGGCTCCAGCTCCCCACTATCTTGTTCATGAATAAGTGGTATAAATAATGGATGGATGGATGGACTAAGTATAACCTTGACCGAGGGGCTAAGAGTTTGTATGATTCTATTGTGTCACAAGCCAACCTCTTTGACGGCTCAGAGTGAGTGTTTGTTTCTGACTGGGAGGACTGGTGCATTCCTAGGGAATCATTAAAAACAATAAATTAGACAGTGGAGCACCAGAAAAGAGATTTATAATAATGCTGCATAGTTATTTTCAGTGGATAGAACAGATTAAGCCAGCATGAGTGACAGTTCTTTCTGTCTGTAGGCTATCGCACTGCCAGTGTCATCATAGCTCTGACAGATGGAGAGCTCCACGAAGATCTTTTCTACTATGCTGAAAGAGAGGTGAGCGAGTTAAAGAAATGGGTCACACAGATTATAACCAGGTGAAACGTGACTACAGATGTGATGGACCAGATCAAGCCTCGCCACCCTATACATCACCTCTTTGATGCATTAATGAGAAAAAAATGAGATCAAAGCAGCTGAGATTTATACGTCTGAGCCTAGTAGTTCTCCTCGCATCTGCGCTGGAATCTAGTGACTTACTTGCTCCTCAGACTGCCCAGGCACTACAGGTGAATGTGTGCAAAAGCCTGATCAACTCTGAGTGCCTTCATACACATGTTGACAGCAGGTATAATATGGGGCTGATGTTTTTAGTGGCTTGAAATGTTGTCGCATGATGTCTGAAAAACAGTTTTCATCGTAGACATGGTGTTGCCCAACATCTTATAAAAACCTTTTAGAGGCCAGATAAACACAGGCCTATTTTGACCAAGTTTTGAATGATATTGTGCAATGTAGAGGTGTAATTGAACCCAGGTGTTGAGCTGCTTTTTGTTTTTACCATACCTGACAGGCCAATCGCTCCCGAAGTCTGGGTGCCTCAGTTTACTGTGTGGGGGTGAAGGACTTCAATGAGACACAGGTGTGTTGTTGTTTGTACCCTACTGTCTCATGACATCTGAGCTACAGGGGGTGAAATAGACAGTAAACTGCCAGTTTACACCTTTAAAAAAGCAATGTTATTAAGTAGCTATAAAATGCTTCATATTACATAAAGGCATAGTTTAACCCAAATTAAACATTGTCCTTTTCTATAAGTTGAAATTATTTAAACAACCATATGTTGCCGACTCCAGCTGAAGTAAATAAATGTACAGTGTTCTAGTGAGCTAAGCAGTACAACAAGGACATCGGATGTATTTCAAATGTGTCGTACTTTATGCAGCATTATCCATGTGTTTGCCTGATCACTGCAATATGTGTGTAGAAGGTTATTTTCCTTCTTTGTGTGCTGTGAAATAGTGTGTCAGAAGAAAAGAGGAAGTTAAGTAATTGTGTTCATATGAACCTTGCTAATTTAATAAGGTCATTCAAGCTTCACTAGTTCTGTGTCTTGTTGGCTGATTGAGGGAAAGTTTCAATCAGGGCAGCTACACAATGATTAATTTAAAAACTTGGATCAATAAGCATGCAGTTGTAAACTGTAATTGTATTTTCTTTTTCTCTAGCTGGCAAAGATCGCTGATAGTAAGGACCATGTCTTCCCAGTGACGGATGGATTTGAGGCCTTGCAGGGCATCATTGATTCAGTAAGCATTTCAGTTCTGCCTATAAACATGTTCAAATAGCAACTATAAATAGGGCTGATATGTCGCTGAAACATCCATAGAAAATATTCTTGCCTTAATCAGTGTAGTCTCTACTATCACTTCACCTTCCATCTGTCAGCACATTGATCAAATAGCACACAGGAAATGGCAAAATAGCTTTAAAGCACATTAAGTTATTTCATGCATGGATCTTAGCCAGGTACAGAATTCCAGGAAAACCTGCTGTGCTTGTGACTTTCTTACTTTGATCAGTGTGGCCAAACATGATCAGAGTGCCTGCTGTCCAGTATTTCTTAAAACCCACCTCAGTGGTGTTGACTTAATTTTTTTTTTATCCACTTGGCTGAGAAATGAAAAACAGTTTGTTTCAAAGGGGCTATTGTCATTGGGATCTGAGGTTTGTCTAGCAGAGCTGAAGGTCCGGCAGCAGATTAACAGCAAACTGACAGCTGCTGTTTCTTAGCCATGTGAGTGGGTCAGGAATTAGGCTTCTATTGGCTTCGGGGTTGTAACTGGGTATGTTCTTGGAGCGAAGTGATTAAAGACACCTTGGCAGATAAGGCAAATGAGAATAAATGGAAACCTGAAGTTCAAAGACCCCGGTGGCAAAAGTTAATTAATAGACTTATTAAAGTCATGGCTATGGTTGAAATCAGTCATTCAATTTAGAAATTGAGTACCACAGTCCAAAAGAAACAAACACTGGACCAAATAACTTACGAAAATGGTATCATTAAGATGTAATGAAGCTGTAAGCAGAGACTGTGCAGAAGTCTCCTTGTGTGTCAAAGCTGCACCATCTTGTTGCGTTTATGAACTCTGTGATGATCTCATCTCCTCAGATCCTAAAGAAGTCCTGTATCGAGATCCTGGCAGCAGAGCCCTCTAGTATCTGTGCTGGAGGTAAGACAAGGCAGACTGATCTCCCTTCCATTTTCTCAGGATGCTCAAAAATGAAATCGTCAGCTTTACAGGAAGCGCAAAGAAGTTGTCAATTGAATGCATACCCCACACAGTATCTTTACAGGTTCAAAATGCAGTGTCACCATATGACACATCATGTCCTTGTTTGTCAGGGATTACTTAGTCATAATACATAGAAGACAATTTTCCTTAGTTTAAAGAAGTATCAGCAAGGTGTGTGTGGTAATGGCTCCAGAGGAACATCAGCATTATTCCACATGTCGACTATTCAAAGTCTTCCTGACAACAAAATCTCTCTGTATCTAAACGCATATCAAGTCAGTAACTGCAGTAAGGAGGCAATAATGGTTGCTGAGAGCGTTCCATATTAGCATGATGAGAAGTTGGGATCTTACTTTGTACCCAAAGAATACAAACGGCCCAATCCTAAAGTTATTTTTTGTTGCTGAGATGATATTTCTGCTTTTATTCTCCTCATACAGAGTCCTTCCAGGTAGTGGTGAGAGGCAACGGTTTCCTCCATGCCCGAAATGTTGATAAAGTCCTGTGCAGCTTCAGAATCAACGACACCCTCACAAAAAGTGAGTGAAACATGACAACACGGGTCCCCCCCCGATTCACTACATTTTCTGTTTCTGAATGCCTGACTGTTCAAAGCTGATCATGCCGTTCCTTTGCAATAAGAACAGCTGGAATAAACAGTTAAGCAAGGCAGCTATTGTAAAATTCATCAGAATTATCAAGTAGCTGAGCTTCCCAAAAGCCATACACCACGTCAGCCGTACAGCTAGAATCCTCTTTAAACAACGCACTGTGTAATTTTACTTCCTGTAGGAGAGCCAGAAATAAGACATAAAGGAGAAACTACCTGAAGCAGGGGGAAGGAAAAGGCCTCAGGTTTACTGTATGAGTTGTGAAAGCCACTTCCTACCATGCCTGACACAGTGCCCACTGGAGGTGATGTTTTAATTAAACAAATAAAATGTTTGCTTTTTTGATGTAGAAGTGATGAGCAGATGTTTTTTTATTAATCTGATGGGTGCTCATGTTAGTGCAGCCTCATGTCTCAGTCAGTCAAATTTGGAATATATTACCTGACCATACCTTTATAACTTATTATACCTGTACAATTATTTGTCAGTTGTATTTGTTTCTATCCAAGCAGTCTGTTTTGATGTTGGAGAAAAGATATTGCATCTTTTCTGCTCTGTTATGTTTGTTTTTTTATCAGTCATATACTGCTCCCATGTTGGCACATAACAGCTACACAGAGACTGTTTTCTCCACTTATATAATGGGTACTTTGGTGATGCCATAATCATTCAGCATTTCTTTAAAAAAAATGACTTCTCAACATTAATGAAATATCAACAATTCCTCATGATTATTTTTCTTTCTGTATGACACAACGCCCAACTTCCAAGCAGGTTACTTAGAAACAATATGAGCCATGATCTTCTTCTAAACTCCTGTTATTTGTGCATACTCATCCTTGAGATTCCTTCACTTCTCCAGGATGTTTACACACATATTCTCTGGAACTTGTTAGCTTCACTGGTAAACTTTAAAGTAAACATGATTAAGCCTTGGTTAGCTTCCCAGATAGATTTATACCTGCCCTTGCTGACTCCTCACACCAGCTCTTTTGTATACTTTGCAAATATGGTAAAAACATCAAAATGAAAAGCAGCAATAAGTAAAATAATGGTGGAGTTTGTGTCTCCAGGAAGAAGTAGCAGCAAATTCAGTCAGGCATTCTGGTATGTTTGGTGGGCCCTGTCTTGAGCTATCCCTTGCTTTGGTGACAGTTGTCGCAGTGGACAACATTGAACTATGAGAACAAAAAGACAAGAAACTGACATTTTGGAAATATTACTTCTCTGCTTTCTTGCCAAACGTTAGGCGAGAACATTAATATCATTCATGTCTGCACAATAAATATGAAACTCCAATTTGTGGTTTCACTTTCTGGAGTCTCCTCTGCCACAGTGACAACAAAGGCTCCAGCAGTCATTGCTCCTAGCCAAGAAAATATCTGACTCACCAACCCATAAACTGAAACTGTTTTTTATACATTTGTTGTTTTTTTTTTTTGTATGATTAAGCAAGCAAGTTATAATGTGGGCTATTAGTGAATTTTACTGGTTCTGGGAGGGAGATTTTTCTTCCTTTTGGACAAAGCCAGGCTAGCAATTTCCTTTAGTTTCTGTCTTTATGCTAAGCTAAGCATCTCCTGACTGTAGCCTTAATATTTTGCATATAAACATGATAGTGATTTTCTCATCTAATTCTTGGCAAGAAAGCAATGAAGTGTATTTCAGAAAGAATTAAACTCTTCTCAAATATAATATTAGCTGTGTCTGCTAAATTGAAGACATGTACATTTTCTCAAGATTCCTGCAGTCTGCTAAACCTCTGGACAGGTGTCTTACAGAATGGCCCCTTAAACACTGCAGCTTACACCTGTCATCTTAAGGAATAACTCCAAATAATTTACTGTTTGACGTAAATGTCTGCATGCTACCCCTTTTGTCTTGCTTTAGTAGTGTGAGGCCATTCTGAGTGTGAGCTGGGTGCAGAGATAAGCTCTGAGTCGGACCATATCGGGCTGCTTTTGTATTGGCAAAGCTCTTGATCTCCCCCATCCTGCATAGTGTTAGGGTAGAGCACTTGTGTCCTATGCAACTGCTTGTGTTGATTTCCTCACTCCTGGGGTATGCACTCCCCTGCCAGGATAAATAGGTTGGCTTGGGCGACAGCGTTCATTGGAGCCGCCCTCATTAAAGCCAGCTGGACAAGAGGAGGACCCAGATTTTTTTTCTGAAAAAAAAAAAAAACATCTCTGGTGAAGCAGTTATTCAAACTGTGTACTGATATTTATGAGGGGCAGAGATGTCTTTAGACAGCAGACAACATAGCGCTTGTTTTGAAGAAACTTTCTCATCAGACAGTATGCTAATCCAGTGATATCATTAATTCTGTTGACATGCACGTGGTTCCCATCTCTTATTCCCCAGTACTTGTTCAATTAAAGTCAGTCAGTCAATAAACTAATATTACTGTAACTAGACTAAACAAAAACATAACCTGAAAGGCCATTCAGGTCATGATTGTGGGTGAAACCTCCTGGTCCCTGAGCTTTGAATGCCAGTGAATAATACTGACTATTACCACAAGACAGGAGGGAATGTTTGGCTGATGCTTTTGCTGTTTCTCCTTCTTTTTAGTGGTGAAGCCTTTGACTGTGGAAGATACATATCTTCTCTGCCCTGCACCCGTGCTTCAAGATGAGGGGATGTAGGTCCTATAATTAATTTAAATGTGTGAGATTTCATATGACACCATTTGCTTTGTTTCTCTAAGGCATCACTTAAATGACAGCTAAGTCATTTTACCTTTTATTGTTCCAGGACAGCAAACCTTTTTGTCAGTATGAATGAAGGTCTTAGTTTCATTTCCAGCTCGGTCACCATAACCACCGTGGGCTGTGTGAGTACAATACAAAGTTTCACCAATAAGCTTTAAAAATGTATTCTTTTGGGGCCATGGTGCATTACAATAGAAAAAAACTAAACAGATTAACACTGATAATGGAACAAACCTATTCAAACCATACAATTAAAACTTCAGATAAAGTATTTCAGTGTAAGCAGAATCCCAGTCTCTCAGGAAGATAAACTCTACATCTGTTTAATGCTCTACATCTTCAGAGTGTCTGTGCTGATGTGCCTGTCTCTGTCATAGTCTGATGGGACCATCCTGGCCATAGCTCTGCTCATCCTGATGCTCCTCCTGGTCTTGGCACTCCTCTGGTGGTTCTGGCCTCTCTGCTGCACTGTGGTGAGTTCTCTGAGCCACTAATGCTATAATAACATGCACACACATTACTTTACAGATAGCTTCTGGTCTACTCTTCTTCAAATTTTAGAAGGCTTCAAACACTTTTTGAATAGATCACTCTTGCTTGCGGTCACTGAGGCAGAAAGAGCTGTCTTTTCTGTTTTGTCTGGCTACTGTCCTTTAAGGCATCTTATTAAAATAAATGACATTCACATGGGGAGGAGATTAGGTTCTCTGAGGGGGGAGGGTCACTTTGCATCCTTGCATCTGAATTTAGTCCATAATGAATGTGTGTTTAAGTAATTATTCTTCTGTTGACATAATTAGTTTCCAAATTAGCCCGACAGGTGACTTCCAAGTCTCACCTCTCAATGCTCCCTCACTATATTCACTGGAAGAGCTAAGACTTAGCAAATTCTTCCATCAGTAATGACTGTGGATAATTAGAATTTCCAGCTAGCAGTATGGAAACAAAACCCTGCACAGACTGAATGTTTTGGGTTGATATCTTTGTTACTATGAGATTTTTAGAGGCAAGATAATTTGCCAGAAATAAAGTTTCATGAAAAGTTTTTTTTTTTATCTCAGTCTTGTGCTCTGGATACAGTAAAAAGTGCCTGGAAAAAGACTGCATGTGCCATTATTTAGACAGTGGTCAAACTGCCAGCCTCACAGTATTTCAACAAACTCAAGTTAACCAGCTACTCTTTGGCAAAATCTGTATTTCTTGTTTCAAATGAAGAGCTCAGTGTCTCTTCAAAATCCTCTCCAACCTCTCCAGCATTGGAAACAAGACATCTGAGAGCTGCCAAAGAAGAGATGTCAGCCTTTACAACATCCCTCCCTTTACTTTTTCTGTTCTTGTCCATTTAGTTGCACATTAAAGTCTGTGCAGCAAGACTGTTTAGGAAAGCGATGCTAGGTTACCATGGGGAATTGGTTTGTGTTCCAGGATTTGGAGACGCATGGAGGAAAATAACAAACAAGAATCAGAGTCACTCAGTTTACCAAGCGTATTTAATTCAGAAGAAACTGACTTTACACTGGTGAAAAAACACAGAGTTCATATGGTGACACATATGCAGGCTAAAGGGTTCAAAAGGAAAGTGCAAGACAGACTAAACTGTACATGCTTAGAAATACATTCCATGTATAAGAAGTCAGGTAATGTTGCAGGTGTACAACAGGCATTGAAAATGGAAATAAATGGATAAAGAGTAAAACTCAGGGGAAACTAATTATAAATACAATAACCTTTTTATAACATTGCATCATACAGAATGCAAGAGCAAATAATGCAGTATTTATGAGCCTGTTATCCTCTCTTTCTGAATCAATAACCCCAGGCCAAAGAATCTGGATAGCAGATTTCTAGGTCAGCGCATTGCTCTTGTAAGTCGGAAAACAATTCCTTGGCCATGTGCTGTTGGGAAACCATCTTGTTGCACACAGAAAACACATTGCATGATATCAACATCACTTGATTCATGTGCTTGTGACTTTTGACATCTTCTGATGCACGACACACACCTTCCTTCTTTTTCTACTCATGTCTTTTTTTTCCCCTGCCACAGATCATCCATGAACCCCCTCCGCCAGCTGTGGAGGAGAGTTCGGTAGGAGCTGCACCGTCTCCACTTGATCTGTTTCTTGTAACTGAATAAAAAACAAAACATCATTTAAGAGTTAAACAGCTGCCGGTGTTTAGGTTTTGTAAGTGTTGAGTTTCCGCCAATTTAAACCCCAATGACCATGTCATTCACTCACTCCCTGATATGAAACTCTGATTTCACTTATTTAGTAATTCATCAAACGGGAAGTAAGTTAACGCCCTCTTAAAATAACAATGAAATCCAGACTTTTACCGTTTTCTCTCTCTCTCTCTCTCTCCTGTTTTAAGGGCAGTTTTCTGTTCAAGATTTAAATTCACGTTTATTAAATTACTTCCCTCTGGAGCTCCTTTGTTGTCTGGATTATAATGTAAAACTGACATGAATTTGATTAAGCAATTCATGTTATTAAAATACATTTTACTGTCCAAAAGTCAATGCAATAACAGCAAGCTAGCATGTGAGTGTGGGGCATATCAGGCTCCATCAGTTAAACTGAAAATTAGGTTTAACTTGTGAATTTATTTCAAAAACAGACTCCAATAGCAACCATGGCCACAAAAACAACTGTCAGGCTTCATTATGGTTTCCTCTGTATGACATCCTAGCAGATTATGAGTCAGACAGGGTGTATAAGTTTGGCCAGGGGCCTTGCTAATTTCTTCTGATATGGCAACCAGTGCAGAGTGGACAGAAATGAGGGCTGGGGTTGGAGGGAGGAGGGCAGTCAGAGGTATTTACAAACCCCATTTCCAAAAAAAAGCTTGGACATTTTCCAAAAGGCAATAAAAACTAAAAATCTGTAATCTGTTAATTTGCTCAAACCTTTAACAGCAAAAAGTACAGAGAAAAAGTTTTTCTATGCTTTCATCGACCAACTGAATTGCATTTTATAAATATAAACAATTTTAGAATTAGATGCCTGCAACACACTCAAAAAGGCTAAATAAGACTGAAAGGTTTATGGAATATTCCAGTAACACTGCTTTGGAAGATTCCCAAAATTAGCATGATTGGGTTTGGAAAAAAGCACTGACCAAAGGCTCAGTCTTTGCAATCAAGGATGGGCTGCGGCACCACTTTGTGCCAAACTTTGCAAGTGAATTATGAATCAATTCAAAAAGAATTTCTCAGTGCAAGATTGCAAACAGTTTAGGTCTTTCACCATCTACAGTACATAAGACTGTGAAAGGAGTCCAGTGAAATCTCAGTGAGTAAAGCCCAGGGCAATGACCTTCAAGCCCTCAGGAGGCATTGCATGAGAAATTGTCATGCACTGTGATGAATATAGATACATGGGCTCAGGAGTACCTTGGAAAACCTGTCACTTAACACAGTCCGCCACTGCATTCAGAGATGCAACCTGAAAATCAGCTATGCAAGGAGGAAACCGTACATCAACGTTGTGCAGAAATGCCGCTGAGTTCTCTGGGCCTGAGCTCATCTCAGATGGACTGAAAGACAGTGGAAACCTGTTCTGAGGTCAGATGAGTGCACGTTTTATGTGTGTGTTGCAGGCATCAAATTCTAAATTTATATGTACGAAGTGCAGCTGAGTTGGTCAGTGAAAGCACTGAAAACCTTTTCTTTGAGCTTTTGTTAGTTAATGGTTCAAGCAAACTGACAAATCACAGATTTTAGTCTCTTACATTTTGGAAAATGGCCCAACTTATCTAGAAATGGGGTTTGCATTTCAAAAACCGACCAGTGAAAAGGCATTTTTACTCAGAGTAGGTGTTTTTGTTTCATATATTGACATGTATGTTTTACAAATTAGTTAATTAGTTAATTTACCCTTTAATTTCCACAAATAGATACACCACAATAAAACCTAATTTCTCTCACTCTCCCACAGGATGACGAGGACTCTGAAACCCCTAAGAAGAAATGGCCGACTGTAGATGCCTCCTACTATGGAGGAAGAGGAGTCGGGGGAATCAAAAGGATGGAGGTGAGATCTAGTAAATCTCAAGTAATCTAAACCACTATCTGTTGTGTTAAATGGCAAAGAGGAAGGCCTTAAAAGCAGCCTGCTAAAAAATGACACGTTCACCACCGTGGCTGCCTAAAATGCATCTCATATCTACTTAAGGATCACAGCACATTCAGAAAGTTTAAAGAACACTAGAATTCTCGATCAAACACACTGCACTGAAGCATCTCATCTATTGTATCATTTTCAAGCCTGACAGATTCACTTACACTTGCCTGACCATCTTTTCTCACATTCACCATTAAAGGTAGCATGTGGCACTATCATACACCTTTAACCCTCTATTTATAGGTCCGCTGGGGTGAGAAAGGCTCAACAGAAGAAGGGGCAAAGCTAGAAAAGGCCAAAAATGCTAAAGTGAAGATGCCTGAGCAGGAGTATGTGCCGCCTCCCACCCGGATTCTCAACAACGGCATGCAAAAACCCCCGGGGTCACACAAGTGGTATTCACCCATCAAGGTACCAAAGCAAGCAGCCAGGAAGGGAGTGTGCTTGCTCTGCTCTTTCAAGTTTGACTGTTGACAACATCTAAAAATGGCAAACGTATGGGAACTATAAGTTTCAATTGTTTCATCATGGAGCATTATATTTGTTCAAGAAGTCTGTGAATATGGCTCATGATTGTTTAAAATTTCTGCTGAGACAAACTTTGTTCAGCTGTTAGCATGTGTAATGCACAACATACAACACAACATCTGTTATAAATGACTCCCTGCTAATCTGGATGAGGATATGCGAGTAATCCGTTATTAAAATATCATAGTAAAAGTAGCACGAGATGTTAAGGTAATAATGCTTAGGTGGCTTCTGGCACATGGTCCCATCCTCCAGGGCTAGCATGGGGTTAAACAAGCCATTGCACAGGCTTCCCAGTCAGCGGGGGATTGCTAATAGAAACCAGACTCCTATTTGGACTGAACTCGAGGGAGCAGGGCTGCAGAGCCAGCAGTTTTGTGAGGAAAAACAGCTGCCCTTATCCTCAAAGTATTTGCTGTGCTTAAAAAGTATGCAGAGTCAGTTCACAATAAACTGAAATCATTTCACTTTGTCACTTTGAAAGGGATGTAGGAATGGAATAATACTGATAATTTTATTGCACCTGGAGTTAGGTGCATGCACAGTGTGGAGATGTGTTTTTAAGTATGAGAGAAAACAAAAATGGATGACATGTGATGTTTTTGTCAATGGAGAGGAGCAGGTTTTTCTTAAGAATGAAGGTAATTTAGGATCACTAACAGTAATGTTTTGAATCCCCCTCTGTTTCCATAGAGTAAACTGGATGCATTGTGGGTACTGTTAAGAAAAGGCTATGACCGCGTGTCTGTAATGAGACCTCATCCTGGGGACAAGGTAAGCAGAACACATAAGCTACAGAGCATCATAAATCAGCCCGTGTTTAACAGAGTGACGTAAAGCCTTGGCTGAGCATTAGAACTTGGCAAACGATGATATTCTTTTGTTCCTGAAAATGTTAAGAAAATGGACCAGCCGTGAGTCAGTGTGCACAGAGAGACTCATGGGAAAATTTGTGGTGAGTTGGGATTTAGACTTTCAGCGTCTGGCTGCAGTGCACAGCAATGCAGAGAGGTCTGGTGAAGTCATTATAAAAAGGCCAGTGTAATTCCTCAAAGGCCAGCTGTAGTGGGGGATGGATGACCTCTACTGTACAGCTGACATGTAGTCTGAGACTGTGGGATCTACAAGTGCTGAAAGTCTGAGGGGATTCTGTATATAACAGTCTCTCACCCAAAAGAGTTTGTTTTGCTTAATTTTCCCAGACAGAAAACCATGTTGAGCTAAGAGCTGCCATTACCTTCAAAGTCACACTCACCAGCTGTGTAGTTATATTCAGAGGGTTACGTTCTTTGCTTTTATTTGTGTAGACAACACCACTACTCTGTAATTAGAACTGTTCGAGTGTGTCCTGCCCACCATAAAGCTCTTCATTAATGCACTGGAAATAAGCTCAGCTCTGGTATCCTTGATGATTTGTAGCAAACAAGCTTGTTCTGGTTGCAATTAGGAGTCTCTTGTCAAAGTCTTGCTTTTATAACTTCCACTAAATAAATACAGTGGACAGAGGAAGGAGGCCAATAGATCCTGCTGCCAGTCTGAGAGAAACCCATGTCAGGCTCCTGTAACGCTTTCATATTCTTATTGTCCAAGGTAATCAAACAGAGCTCACAACACAGGAGGTTATAAACATTTGGCTATCACATATTTTCCTCTGTACTCACTGGTTTCATGTTTAGCTGTAAACTATTAGCTACAGTACAGTGCAGGAGCCCATAATATTCTGTGCCTCTCGGGGCACTAAAGGAATACAAATCAACAGACATTGACATATTTGTTGGTACCATTTCAGCTGATTGAAATGGCACTTCATTCCTACTGAAATATGATTAAACGCAAATGTCTTGGTATGTCATAGAGTACAGCAAAGAAAATGTGCAGAGATCAATTATTGCTTATTTTATAGATATTCTAAAATGGCCTAGACGGATTTTATCGATACCCCTGGAAAAGATTATAATAGTGATGGTTCAAACCAACTGCTTCCTTTAATTAGTGTCACATCTTCACTCTTGTAATCAGCCCACTGAAAAAGTAGTCAATCTACAGTTTGGTATCATTCTGTGCAACACACTGAACATGGTTAAAATGCATAGTGAAGTGCCACTGCTTCTGGGAGAGTGTCCGTTGGACAGATGAGACAAAACTGGTAAGTCTCATCAGCTCTATGTTCTTAGGATGGAGTTAACTAAAAAATGAAGCATTCAAAAAAAGCATCATACGTCAGTTATTTTTTGGGGCTGCTTTGCTGCATCTCCAGACTACCAAGGCAGTCTGGAGAATTAAAAGCAAAGGATATATAAAATAGGTCAGTTTTGTCAGGATATTGGGGATTCTACCTTTCATGGAAGGGTACCAACAAATTTGTTCACGTCTGTCGGTTGAGTTAGTTTTTCCATATATGAGAAACATTTGACATCACTTTTGCATATTTCTTCCTGGTTTTGTCTCAGCGATCATTTGTTCTGGTGGTAAATGAAATCACGGCTGTCATTCCTTATCAGTTCACCGCAATTCCCTGATCGTCTTAGTGCAGCTGTTTCAGCCCTGTAGCTTGTTTCTAGAATAAGAGAGCCTCTCTTACGTGACCTCAATTAGGTTTGGACGAGGGGGAGTGGTGGCAGGTTCACTAGTTCAGCAGAGTAGAACATATTCACATAATTGTCCATAACTAAAGCTGTGATTGAAAATTACAGCATACATTGAAGTGTGCAGTCATGTGGTGGTGTTTTGACAATAGGCAAGGCTTCTATATCGGAGACCATCTGCTGTGGTCATCAGTCCGAGGATAAAGCAGGCAGACATATTATTGGCTGTCAGAGCAGGAAAGGTGTGTGTCTTATCACAGAAATATGCTTTAGAAATGTTTTCTGAGCAGGACATTCTCCAAGCTCCAGAATAATGAATGTTTGGCTCAGTGAGACATACCGCCAAAAAACAAAGGATATTAATCAGATAAAATGATTTATTGTTACAAGATTATGAAGTAATGATACATCAGCATGTTGTACATGATATGATGAATAAACATTACATGCACTGGATGTCAGTTTTACAAATGAAGTTCAAAAGCTCCAGTTCAGCAGCTACCGTGGCTGAAAAACCTGCAATCAGAATCAGCTTTATTGGCCAGGTGTGTTCAACATACAAGAAATTTGACTCCGGAACAGTGGCTATCAATTTGTACGTACAATGCTCTTCTGTAAGGCGACGAGTAAACAAGATAAGACTGAGAGAACAAGAAAAGAAAAAATGCGCAAACCAGAAAAAGGAAGGTGCATTAGCCGCTGTGTTTAGCTACCAGGCTGTGTCTGACTACTTAGTGCCTGCCATTTATGTTTGAGAGTGTGACTTGTGAGTCTGAATTTTATCCACTGAATGTGCCCCTCTGTTTTTATATTTCAGGGTAGATGTATGAATTTCACTCGCACAAAGTCTCCCCCTCCTCACTACCCACACTACAACCCCCAGCCATCTCCTGACTACAGTCCTCCCAGCAAGAATCCCCCTGCACCGCAAGGCATGCTCCCACCAACCCCCAGCAGCTCTCCATCATCTTCACTGTTTTCCTCCACCACCCTTCCACCGTTGCCTCCAACACCACCTCCTACCTCCACCACTCCTTCTCCACCAATCACTCCTCCCCCTTATACACCACCTCCCAACCGGGCTCTTCCTCCAACCACTATGCAGATACCTGCCCCTTCAGGACTCCCGCCTACTCCTCCGTCCTCTGGCTCCCTGCCTCCTCCTCCACAGGGACCTCCTCCTGGGCGAGCTCCTCCACCTGCCCGCCCACCGCCTCGGCCTGGTCTGTAAATCTCTGGCATGAGATGGGAGAGAACCACGCAGCTTTGAAAAAGGCAACAGAGTCTCACCAGCAATAAGCACATGAACCATCGCTGACTGTACCTGCAAATGAGAATGTGAACGGCTCGTGCACGCTCAGCAGGTTGTGGCCTTTTTGCCTTGTGAAAAGGAGCAAAGGACTTGTTTTCAGCTATTTGTCTACAGTGACTTTTGTACACATTTAGCCCAACAGAGCAATTGCTGTGATGGTTGAACTACACAGACATTCCCTATAAATGAGGTCATGCAGGCTGGCTCAAAAACATTTCCCTCCATGGACCTCAGAGCCGCTTCAAGCCCAGTTGTCCCATCCATGAGCACACCAGACTGGATGAATCCTGACCAGGCAGAGGAACAACAACTTATACTAACGTCTCTGTACACAGGCCCTCAAGTTTTGTTTATATCATGGCTTGAACACTCATTCCCGAGAAGAGAAGATGACTTCGAGGAATCTGTTCCCTGTTTTTTGTTTTCTTGAATGTTGAGCAATTGCATGCAATAATGTTTGAGTCAGCATTGTTTTTAAAATGTTATTTCCACCTTGTGTTAAACATTTTTATTTGTCCTTTTATCACTGAGTAGACCACATTTTCTAAGTTTAAATTTTTGAGGTTAGAAAAACAATCATCCCGACGAACGGCAATGCAACTAATCGGAACTTGTCTTTGTCATCTAGCTTAACGTGAGTCATACATGGCCTATTTCTGCACACATCCAGCTAAACAACTTGATGCTAAATTCACCCTGTTACTATATCTGACCTCACAAAGATGACTGCAGTCACTGCTATAATTTGCATATGCTCTGTGTATCAAGATGTGGACAAAAATGTCAATCAGGGAAAAGCTTTGCACTGTGCCTTACTTACCCATGGCCTCTTGCAAAAGCTGGGCTTTATGTAAATCATTCTGATATAACCGTGTTCAGATATGTGTGTGTCAGAAAGAGGGAGACAGACTAGTCTACTAGTAACAGTTAGTCCCACAGTAGGCTGGCCTGAGTCAGTTGCCAGGTTTATCAGCTAAAAGCAAACATCTGTTTTTCTGCAAAAGATGTTTCAAGTTCCTCAAAGCATGGATCTTGACAATGCTGTTCCATGGGTCATATAAAGTCTAGTGTAGATTAAATGAAAGGTTAATATTAAGCTGTTATTTGCTCAAAACTCAAGCAGCAATCAAATGTATGCAATTTTCCAACCTGTTTCATGCATGAAAATAAACAATAAGTGAATAAAATCTGACTGTATATTCCTCACATACAACCCTCATATTTCTGCTTGTAGCCTAAATCATTGGGATTTACTTCCTGATCAGGAGAAAGGCCCACTGACCCACAGTTTGTTCTAAGGTTTCATCAAAAATCTGATTAACAGGTTTAACCTCATATTCCTTTAAGTCACTTTTTATCCACAGTGTTCCCATTTAACACTATTCTGTTACTCTCTAACTAAATGTACAACTTTTTATCCTATTCTTTGGTGTAGTAGTACTGTAACGCCAGCTGGGTTGAAGAAGGAACCAAACACCAAAACTGCCTCCTATGTGAGCTTCCATACACCACACACCTCCAGATAGCCTTTTTTTTTTAAAGCACCAGCAGCAAGGACTTAAATGCCTGCCATGGCCTATTGCTGCCACCAGAACCCTTTTTTATGGTGCTCCATGCCCAGCTGGCCTGGTCCCACCCCATAACAGAACATGAAGCGAACAACTCAGGAACTCAGTCTCTGCCTTCAGCAGGCAAGCTGGGGAATCTCCCCCAAGCGCTGCTCCGCCCTGACGCTACAGTATCACATACTGGGACCACTGGACTCACACAGTGGAGAGGGGCTGTTTGTATAAAGCACCTAAAAAAAAGAGAAAAGTTTATGCAAAGCATGGGTAAATGATTCCAGATGTCTATATGTCGCATTATTTCACATGCACAAATGGAGTGATCTATTTTGGAAAAGGTTAGACACCATCTAATCCTCAGGAAATGTGGAAGGCTGCATAAATGGCGCGCTGCTGTGAATTGTTCATGACATAACGTGGGAACAGCGGAGTGGAATAACAAGCTGTGGCTTCTGAATATCTCAAAGAAAGAAACTTTGATTAAGATCTGAAGTTTTATTTTGTCATTTGAAGTTTATGAGCTGCAAAGAAATCATTTTTTGGGCTGTTCAGAGAGAACTTTCCATGACAGACAAACTCAGTGCAAGATGCTTTGAATCTGCTGCCAGCTATTGTTAACAGTTGTCTGAAGTATTACAGTGCATATGTCTAACTGCATCAGAGATCATAGCTATTACACAGACTTCCCCATATGCTAAAAAAAACTCGACAACAATAGCAATGAGAAGAATAAGGGTGAATATGGATAAGCTCATTTGTTTGGCTCTAGTTTGTGCATTGATATTGTGCATTCAAACAAATCAGTGTGCTTATCTAGGTCTTAAATGTATGCACCTGCTGATAATCAGGGAGACTTGTCTAAATAAAACAAACCATAAAAACACTGTTTCTCACTCATTATAAACATCACACTAACCAGCAAAGATGACAAAGGCACAAGAGGACAGAGGCACTGCTGCAGTTTCAAGCTCTTTCTTTTTAAATAAAATAAACACCCACCAACATGTCAACAACTTCAGCTCCTTAAACAGTTTTAGACCACTGTTCAGTTTAGGTTTATTCTCTCTAATGGAAAAGTAGGATGCGACAATAATTACTTTGGTCAGTTATTTATATTGTGACTGTGTCCAACAAGCTACTTCAGTTATCCACGTAGAGAACACAGAAGAAAATATTCAATTACCCTCCCCTGCTTCACATGCTGGAAATAGACTCCCTGGCCACTTTATTAGGTACACCTGTACAGTTGCATTCAATTCAGTGCAACATGTGTGTTTATGAAGCTGGTGACATTATCATTAATGTATTAAATTCAATTATATGTTTATTATTGAGGTCATAGTTAAAGGTTGTGGTGTACTGGACTACATTATATTCAGAGGTGTTCCTAATATTCTGACCCTCTCATGTATGTAGCTAGGGAGGACAAAAATATAGAGACACCTCTGAAGGTTAGTCTGTGTATAAAACCCAATGAATCAGAAGTGTTGTGTACAGAGCCAAAAGGTTTATACTGTACAAGAAAAAAAGAAATAAAAGACAAAATTGTGAAAAACCTTCCTGTACTATATATTTAGTGAGAAACTCTGAATAAACATATCCATAGCTGATATGTTGTTTTAATATACAGCATATTAAAAATCCAGAGACCACACCTAAAGTATGTGAATGTTTTGCTGTAGCTCACTGTCAAATGTGTTTTGAATATCAGCAGATCTTCTGATTGCTAAGTATTATTCATAACAAAAGTAGATGTATAACAGGCTAGATTTGGTTTGTCTCTGTTCCATTTAGATGTTAAGCTAAAGGCTCTCGGGTTTGTTTACGATGGCTCACCGACATTTAAACACAGAGGAGCCATTGTTAATGTTATTGATTCCGCCTGTGCTTTTTCCCTCCCCCTCACCTGAGAGAAAATCCAGTCTTATCAAAGCAGGTCATGATTTCAGTTGGCAAAGCTATATCACACCATGTGGCTGCATCAATTAAAGGTCACAACAGCTATTAAGAGTTATTCAGTCCCACTCAGGACAACTTGATTAAAGCTGTTGTGGTGCTCTGGTTTTTACAGGCTGTTGCTGCACAGAGGTTCTTACCTGCACTGCTTCACAACATTCTCTTTTTAGATAAACTGCCCACAGTGCTGCCTTTGGTTGGACAATGGAGACTGTTTTTGTTTAGAGCCATGGCTGTCTTCTACAGGTCCTCTAAAGCTGCCTGTGAAGCGATTGTTGTGATTAGTCACTGCAATGAAATCCTTCTAAAAGTGGCGCTTGCTTTCACCAACAGTGTGGCTTTTTGCCATCCAATCATGCTGAGGCTTAATGCATTCCTCAGGCTGATGCCGGCAGGTGTGCTCTTCTCCTGGGAGGAGCTGGACCAGCATAGACCCTTGAGCTGCTCCATCCGGCCTCCACCAGGCACCTGCAGAAATGACAGCTGCTCTCTGCGGTGTGGTGGAGGGACATCTGTAGAGCCGAAGTCCGTCCAGTCGATGCTGAATGCCGTGCCTGCACTCTACCCATGTTCTCTGTGTGCACAACCACCCTGGCCCTCGTCTATGTGCCACTGTCAACCCTGGTTGGTAACTTCACACCCGTCTCCATGGTTGTGACTATGTGGATGCGTCAGACTGGTGCTGTTCACCTTACATACTGGGACTACACAAGCACTCGATCTGCCATCACTCTAGCTTCACTGTATCTTAACTCTTTGTAAATAACATACATAAAAGTAATTTGTAAGCTTCATTACTCCTGTCAATGATTGCCTTTTTAAAAATTGTAATAAAATAAATATTTTTTGATATGTCTCACAAACCCACTAGTTATCATTGTGAATATTTCAAACTGTGGGTCCAAATGACCTCAGACACTTTCAAAAGAGAAAAACCTGACACTTTATTGCAACAACTCTAATAAATAGTGCCCCACTCCTAAGTAACCCAACAAGTGTCAGTGCAGCATCCTTCAAGCTCTAAAAGTACACGTAACAACAGTGTTCAATTCTCAGACCCTTTAACTAATATGCAGCTGTGTGTTTACAACACTATTTAATGACTTTAGCGCAAAAAAAGGGGGGGAGGTGGCGCATTTGGGGTCTTTTATGACATATTTAATGTGTGACATATGTAAGTGTTTATATTCCCCATTTAGGCCTCAGACGTTTGACAGCAGCTTAATCACGTTTGCTAAAAACCAGGATGAACATACCTGTTTTGGTTTACAACTGCCTATGCCACTGTAAAAGCATTTGGTCTGACAGGACATTGCAGTGACAGTAACATTCACGTTTCAAATACAAGTAACAGTAAATCCTCCCCCCCGAAAACAAAATTAATGTAACAAAAGAACGAAATGCAAATGGTCCCTGTATTGCAGCTGTCATGGTAGCAGGGTGTGGACTGGCAACTGGCTGCAAAGTGTACTTCTGGTTATTAACTTCATCTATTTCAGTTACAGGTCTACTGTAAACTGGAGCCCAGAAAAGCCTGACAATGTCCCTTGAGCAGGAAGGCAGAGGTCAACACAAAAATGAATTTGTGCACAAAGCACTTACAGTGAGTGAGTGTAATTTACAGAGAAGAGTAAAAGCAGAAACTGTGTGTGGTCACAGAACAGAGCCTCGCTCTTGGATGTAGGTGGGTCAGTAAACAAGGATTAACGTAACAAGACTGCAGTTTTAAATGAAAAACACTGGGTGTCTACACCAGAGCAAGCTTTGGTCATCTCCCCAAGAAGATTTTACACAGCAGTATATTCAAGAGCTTTTCTGTGATCCAACTTATGATGGTGCACGATGGTTACCACGCTGCATCTCCTCGGAAGAAACTCCAAGAGGAAAAACTGAGTCAAAACTGCCAAACTGGTGTAATCATGAGGAAGTAGCGACCTGTGGTTTGGAATGATTTAAGACTGTCATTTACCACAACTGTGGAGCAAAGACACTTGAAACAATTAGCTGCCAAAATCTATCCCAACTATACTACAAATCATTGCACTAAAGCAAACTAAATGAGGCAGTGAGGTCTTTTAACCCCAACTACTGTCAGTCAGCAGCTTTAACATCAGCTCCCAGTGAGACCAATGAGCGCAAATAAACAGTTTTTGAGCATGAAAAAAATAAATCCTGGTCACTATCAGTTGCTACAGGTTCAAAAACCCAAAGAGTTATAACGATGTGTCAGCGCCAACCCAAACCCTGGCACCATGGACAACTTTTCTAACACTAATATGAAAATAATATCAAAGGTTGCTGATGGAACAGACAGATATAGATAATATGCAACAGTGAGATACATGACTGTTGAGTACAAGATCACATTTAAAAGAAAAGAAAAAAAAAAAGCTGTAACACAAAAACAGGGCACTGTCTTCTTTGCTCTTGTTTACAGCTCCCTCGTAGTCTGTTTGAATATGTGTCTGCCAGGCTTCTGTTGTTAAGCGATGAAGGATATGATTCACTCTACTGTCACAGACTTGGCCAGATTTCTTGGACAGTCCACCTGTAATTAAAACACATGTCAAACAACAGCCATATAAATGGACAACCGATATACTGCAGAGTTGGGCTTCTGAATGTGACTAAATGCTACTGTCAAACTATCAAGTGCAATTTACCAAAACCTTACTGAAAACACATTTTAATGTGCGAGCCAGTGATATGGCAGCATGACAACTCTTATGTTTCCCAAATCTTTGGTCAGAGTGCTTCTGAGCAGTTGGACAAACTTAACAAGAAAAAAACACACCAGAAGAACAGAGCGGGTTTACAATGGAGCCGTGTGCACATAAATGTTTTCCTCTGTTAGAACAGCAACGTGCCGTTATGAATAGTCACTGACATAATGTAAATACAAGACAGGTTTGCTGCACACTCTTTAAAATCAAATTTGAGACCTTTTTAAGAACAGAGGGAAAAAAAAGCATTTCCACAACAGAACAAAGTCACATTAACACTGATGCAGCATGTGTAACTTCATTCAAACTAAATGATGCAATATCAAAACACAGACATGATCATTTATTCCATGTATTATGCATACATGGGATAATGAATTATATACACACCAATCAGGCATAACATTATTACCATCTGTATGCACTTCAATGCAACACTTCTGCCTTAACTGTGTTTCTGAAGCTGAAAATGTTTCGGTGTTTGGTGCGATTGTCATAAATGTATAAATTCAATTATATGTTCATTATTGAGGTCCTAGTTAAAGCTGGTGTTGTACTGGACTACATTATATTCAGAGGTGTCTGTATATTTTGTCCTGCCTATTGACATACATCAGGGTCAGAATATGAGGAACGGCTGTTAAGCCTGAATGGTGACTTTAAAGAAAAGCCTATTTAGATGACAATTACTGGTGTGACTACACAGTCTGTGGGTGTGACAACAGAGTCATTTATAATGGAGAGAATAGCATGTATTGCTTTCAGCAGACTAGTGTAATCACAAACATCTTATTGAACATCTACGTTACATCCATTTAGTTACCACTTTATTAAGCCCAACTCACAAAAGTGAATTCAGTGTTAATGAACGAGTTCTACAGAAACTCCTTCCTCATGACCCTTATAATGTTCAGTTTTTGTCAAAACAGCAAGCTGCCTAAAATAAATAAATAAATAAAAATAAAAAAATCTAGGCAGACATTATAATACTAATAAACACTGGTAATAGTAACAGCTGGTGCTCTTTACCGACAAAGTGGTTTATTCCCATTAAAACTGAACCAATGACAAGAATGAACTGGTGTACAGCCAGAGGTGTTTACATGTACAGTGAGTGTAATCCTTTCACCGTGGCAGCTTACCTCACTATCAGAGGATCACCTTCACTACAGGTTTCTAGGTTACAAAGTTTACATGCTTTAACTGTAAACACTGCATGTTGGTGGTTCCTAGCAATAGTTCATTGGGCAGTTACCTACAACATTCTCCTTAAATGTCAATAGTTTTCACTCATGTACTCACTTGAATTTTATTTTCAACAGTAAACACAGGCAATACTGAACATGCTAAATTGGAATGGCAACTACAGGTGAAAATGGTAGAGATATGGAACTTGAAAAACTCCTATTAAACTACTTTTTTGGATAGGCAATAAGTCTCAAGTAGCAGTTAATGCAGAGCCTGAAGGGCAGTGACGTGCGGTCAGGGGAGGCAGGTGAGGCAGAGCCCCCCCTGTCAATCTTGAAAAGAAAAAAAAAAAGTTAACCATAAAATATAATAAATGTTAATATTTGTCGGCTGGTGTGTGTTGTAGGCCCTTTTGCCGTTCTAATCCGATGTTGAAGGAATTTTTTTCAATAAAGAATAGCAGAATTTCCGTATGTCCCGTTCAAATACATGGAGGAGATGTGTGATGAGGCAGCACTTTGCTGTGCCTCTCGGTGGATCGTGTAATCCTCACAAACTGTATGCGATGC